CAAGAATACTTTAATGGAATTTCGGCATTGATGCGCTTAAGTTACAGGCTCGTACCAACGGTACTCGCAAGTTATGGCAGTCCACGAAGTGATCTAGTCGTTGCTTTTTGACGGTATAATGTCGGCAAGAGAACGTTGGCAAAATGCTGCCCATACTCGGGCACCATTTCTTCTTCACACTTAGAATGTTCTATCAGCTTACTTAGCAACACCCTCTGATGCTGCGCAGTACGCTTCTTCGGCAACACTTCGTGACGTTACCGAATATACCAGTTCACAGGCTGTTAGGGTACATAATCGGCAAAATTGCCACAGCCTCAATATGGAGATTTTTTAAGAAGCATTGATTCCTTGTGAGGACTAGGTCGGCCCAAAGTGATATACGCTAGCAGATGGGTAAACGTATCATGTCCAGGGGGTTGCAGTTTAGGTTGTCCCCCTTCCCGCTAGCTGTACAGATCAACTCCCTCTTTTGTACATATAATCCTGGAATAGGCTAAGCTGTCTGCCTACTGCGTTCATTTTCGTGTATTACGTGTACATTGGCATCTTTTTCACAGCTTGTCGGTACTGTCAGTATCTCCTTACGTTTTCTGTCAGTTTAAATTCGTTGTATTTAGTTTCTAACTTCACGTACTGCTAGAGTCAGCACTCTTCGCATATTCTCGGTGGTCCCGCTGGCCAATACCAGTGTCCCAAATCACCCCTTTCTAGATTTTCCTCGAGTACTCCACCGCTTTGCCAGGATGTAATGTCCTTATAAATCCTAACAGAAACGTAATATGATATTCAGGAACCCCGGGGTTTTAAAATAAATCGTGCACTCTTGCCTTTATCTAGCCGCTAATTAGGTTCTGCTACACTTGCAATGTATCTACTCCGCTTTCAACCGACACCTACTGCCCATTTATTTCCTCTTTGGCCATTTAATTTAGGTTGCCTTTTAGGCACTTCATCTATCAGTCTAGCTCATGGACTCAGGGTCTTCATCTTTTGATATGTAACAGAATGTCTGCTATCCAAACTACTGAGAACGTCGGTTCGTGGCACTACTAAAGCACCAACAAATCTAAAAATGCAGCAAAGCATCCTTTATTGGTCGGATTTTGAACGCGTAATTTCTCTCTAATGGGAACCTCGATCGAGTTTTACTATACTTGAACTAGGTCATCCCAACTTGTTGCTCAGATTGCAATCCGTAGCCTTGTTCTCGAGTTTTTCGGTACATTTTCCGGACCAAATTATCCACATCAATTTGCCGCATTATCTCGTTTGATTTTACTAGGATCACACGCATTCCGTAAGGGGGCAATCACGACAGTTTGCGCTTTTTCATTAGCCTTCGCAACGATTGGCGATGTATTTTTTGTGGACTTCCCGCACAGAGTATTTTTTTCCGAAAAAAGGTGACTAGCAGACTAAAACCTTATGTAGGTTTGTTCTACCTGCTCTAGGCACTAGATCCATTGACTGCTGAGCACAGTTTGTGGACCATTTCGTGAGCTTGACCTTCAGAAATAGTTGTTACTTTCCTTGGTGACAATATTACGTTACTTTACCCCTAGCACTCCCCCCGCACCAACTAAATAGAAGGAAAAGTGTATATGGCACGGCTGATTCCTAACAGATTATCTTCCAAAATTGCAAGAGCTGTCCGTAATCGATCAAACAATTTTGGCGGGTATCAGCTGCACCATTCGAATCTCCCCTTATTCTGTCTTAGCACTCATCTGTGTATTTCGTTTGTCAACTACCGCGTTTTCTCTCATACCTTTATCTGCTTGCATGCCCATCTTTATCATAATGTGTCTCCGCCACAAAGCAGAATTCGTGCTCACCGTTTAGAGCGATGTTTCAACTGGTTTAACTTATTTAATTTGTAGACTTTCAACTATTATCCATCGTCATAGTACGCACATTTTTGCAACACATGACAACCCTTATATGCAGAAAGTACACTTAAACTAAGTCCAACTGTAAAAACAACGAAAACAGAACCCATTACGATCTGCGTCTTATGCCGTCTGTGTTTTTTTTTTTAGCATGAGTGAATCCAGCGCGTTGGAAAAAGTTCCGAAACGCGTTTTCCATTGCAGTGACGGAACCATCAGCGAATACTCAGACGACGATGAGGCCGATGGTCCAATTGTTGAGGTCGAACCCGTACGTTTGTTGACAATTAGAAACCGCTTGCAACGCGCAATCCTAGAAATCCAATTTGTTTTTCCTTCGTTGAAATAGGAGCAAGACTCCCAAGCCCTAACGTGGTCCTCCTGGCTGAGCCAAAAAGCAAAAAATGCGACGAAAATGGTGGTCTCCGCGTCTGATTGGATGGGCGAAAAGTTCGCTTCTCTAGTGGGTGTGACCGAACCAAAGTTCGACCTTTATATTCGCGAGCACGAGTTTTTGATGAAACAGAAAGAAGAGGAATTAGCGAATACCTACATAATCGCACCCGAGGAGAGTATCCCCCTGAACTCCAGATTTCAGTGACCAATGATAGCTGAAAAGCTCCTTGCTTGTACTTTTCATTTATTTAATTTACCCGTCATTGCAAATGATGCCTACTTTTTAGGCTTAACATCGGAATGCCCACTCACGAATTCGAACCTCCACGTCTTCCAATAAAGTTCTTAATTTGTACACCTCTTCATTATCTCCTACAAGTTCTTCTAGTCATGAATGTGCAGACGCTAACTCGTCTTTTTATGACTTGAAGTCGCTAAAAACATATCCGCTGAAAGCAATCAAGAGAAACATGCCGCATGCGGGAATCTAACTTCACTCCATCTCCGAATGTACTCCTCCAGTTATGTACAAAGAGAATAGCCATATCCCTTTCGATTAAGCATTGCCCTTTCGCCAACCTAGAGGAAAATAATTCCTAGATTTTATTTTATCCAATCCCAGCCGTCGGAGACGGCCGCTTAGACAGCCAACTGATAACCAGTGTTAAGAGTAATATTACTCACAATTCTGACTGCTTAAACTTCGGATGCGAGTTTCCAATTTTTTTTTGAAACCAGCTACCATATCGAATGGGCTTGACTGACGTAAGTGGCTACAAGTAACCTTTTGTGGGCGCAAGGGTCGATTTCTGGCTATCGTCAATTTAGTCGCCACCCCTCTCGCCTTCGCAAAGGAACGAATCACTTCAGTGAGGACTCCGTTTAAGAAAAAAGGCGGATAGCTTAAAATAAAAAGTTTAAAAATACAGTTGTTGTGAAAACTTACAATGGCTTGGGGGATAGGGGAAAATTGTATGAACAAGACCAAGTTCCAAAGTATGAAAGGTTACGCCAGGGGATTTTCACGATCTGCTGAAAAGGCTTCGTTTTCTTCAATGGTAGTGAAGTTCAGGAAGTGCGAAGGACGATGGACACGATGGTAGAACTTTTTAGGCTTGAGTGGCTGCAACTCGTACTTCATGTTCGGGTCGTGGCGGACACCTAAAAATCGGCATTTTTAGACTTAAGACAATTTAACGGCGTGCATGGTAAACTAAAGCGCCCTATGTCTTATTCACGCTTGGTTAGAATTACACGTCAGATGACGGCACCCATTACTATGGGCACTAGATTTCGGTTTTCCAATGGGATACCAAATGTACAGGATTACTTCCTAGGAGAAGAGGCAAACTACAGATGGTCCATTTATATGCCTTGCTACAGAATAATGGAAACTTCTGTATGGCAAAATATGTGAGTTTGTATCCGACAAAATCCACTGTTTGCCCCACAACAAGGTGGCGCAGAGACGGAGTTAAGCGCGTAAACTAGACTACAGTGAGAGT